CCTACAATTTCTAGAATTAGTAGGACAGCAGCTGCATAGCTTGTATGTGGCCAAATTATATATCCAAGGTGGAAAAGTTATTAGTTGATGTGTATCGTTATCATTATAATTACTTAATGTATTGTGTTCTTGTTTGTCTCTCTTTCTAATAAAAGATTTAATACTTAAAAAAAATTGTTAAATTGATTACATTTTATATTGTAGAGAGATGCTTCCTCAATTGCTTTAGAAGTCTTAAAAATGAATCAACTTAGATCTTTTATTTTAATTAAAAAAAATTAGCACTGTACTGAATTGTGAATTAAGAATTGCGCTACACGTTGCTCCATGCTCTCTTTACACAACCAAGCCTGGGTCACCAGGTCCTCCAAGATTATAGACAAGGTGTTTTAATGTCACACTAAGGTGGCTACAAGAGCCAAGCCCAGACCAAGAGGGACAAGTGACCGAACACTTTGGAGCCAGGCCCAACTTTGCCTTGAAACTTGAAAGGATTAACCCAACGCGTCATTGGCACCAGGGCCCAAAAAGAGAAGTTTAAAAGCCGAATTTAGCTGTTTGAAACTTTTTTTTTATTATTATTAGTTGTTTGAAATTTTAAGTTTAAATAATTGTAAATGTTAAACTTTTTTTTATTCTTTAACTACAAAAAATGTATTTTTTTTTAATTATCCAGATTGAAATCAATTTATAAATAGGTATTTTTGAGACATGGCTTCTCAACTGACACTGAGATATTAAAAGCATGTTTGGTACAGCTCCTAGGAGTTTCAGCTTTTGGACACTATTCATGTCTCATGAATTTAAATTTCCCTCTTAAAAACTTATACTTTTAAATATTTTTTTAACTTCAAAAAGCTCTTAAACAGTAAAAGTTTAAAAATTTCAAATCCAAACTTTTCATAAACTTCATTTTTACTTACTTTTCACTCCCTTTTTCAGTTTCTTAAAAGCTAAAACTCTATTTTCCCTCCAATAAAAATTTAAATTTATCACTCATAATAGTACTCAAAAAGCTAAAGCTCTCACAAGCCACACCAAACAGGTCCTAAATCATAGAGGTTTAAAAACAATGCATTTATCATATTATGATAGATATAATAAAATAAGAGTTACTACTTGTCCGCCATACTTCTTAAAAATTAGGAGGAAAAAAGACAAAAATCACCTTAATGTATGCTTTAAAAATATGGTAATTTAATTTTTTTCAATAAAAAATTATTGAAACGACGTAGTTTTAAGATAATTTTCCTCCTAATCTTTAGAAGGTAAGGTCGACAGGAATTTTTTCCATAATACAAAACCTCCCAAAATCATTCCTAAAATACAAAGGTAGAGTCAGTATCACCTTAAAAAATATATATATATAACGATAAATTATCTTATTGATCATAATAATATTTATTATTTAACAAGTAATATTATCACATCAATTTTTTATTTTTTTTATTAAAAATGCTTAAATAGTCAATAAATTTTTTAAGTATAATAATATTACATGTTATATAATAAATAATTTATCTTTATTAATAATTTTAAAAAAATAATTTACCCTTATCTTTTATTTATCTTTACCTTTTATTGAGAGATAAATTTATTCTTACCGCCTTAGATGATCGGCAGATTTGAGAATCTGTCACATATCAATACTACTAGTCTCTAGTTGCGAGGAGTTTTTTTCTATTTTCCATTTTGTCTTCGTAAAAGTAGCGGATGTTAGAAAACCATAGCCTGTTTTTCAAGACATCCTGTTCCTAATATTTTTAAATGTCACGAGTTATTTAAAATATTTAAGTATTTTCAATTGTTTGAAACTTTCTAATTTTCCGCTATCTCATATAATAATATAACTGTTTCTCTTTAAATCTAATCGAATTGAATCACGCGCCATTTGTTCCCCGTTGTACTCTTCGAAACGCTCCCTCGGCCGTTCACCGGATTCGTCATCCGTTGACCACCCACGGCCGCCGGCCGGTTGTCCGATAATTTTTCAGCCCCTCAACGATGGGGTAGAATAGTCTGTAGTTTCTCTCCTACGTAGGATAAAATTTCTTGTTCTAGTTGAACAGAACAAAGAGATAAACTGTTAAATCTGCATTGGGCCTCAACGGAATACCACCGCCAGTGACGATTTTGCATGCGAGATTGCCATTGTAAGCGGCAGCGTTTTCTACTCTGGCACCCACCTTATTCTTTTCTCGTTTTGAATGCCACCCCGTTTCCGTTACTACTAATTTAATATGATCGTCCTTTAGAGCAGACATGGCAACGAAAATGACGTAGATATTGGCGTCGAAGAGGTTGAAGTACCGTAAACCGTTACCTTTAATCCACGATGCGTGGGTTCCCCGGAACAGAGTGTAGTCCAAGGAAATGACGTCAGTGTTTGACTCATAGGCGAAAAAGGGCTACGCATTGACCATGAGGAAGGACCCGGTTTGGCGGAGGAAATCCAACATGGGTTATTGGGTTTGAAAACGGGTTCCACAACTTCCATTATTTCCGACCGGGAGGATCCAGCGGAGGTGGGGTAAGAGTTTTAGAGGGCGCTAAGAGCAATGGGGAAAGAAACCTTAATGGCGGAGTGGAGATTGAACCTGACCAGAGCTTGGTGGACATTTTTCATGGCAGATACGAGGAAACGGGTTGTATTGCGCGGATCCACGAATACTTCGTTCCCAACAATAATGGGTTACGGGGCTGTTTATGGGGATATTTTAGTTTTTAGTGTAGACAAAGAAACGATTGGTTTCGATATCAATTTTAAAAAATTAGAAAAGTTTTTATAGAAAATTGATTAAGAAATTATATTACAAAAAATTAATATTTAGTGTACGTAAAATTGATAGCTTTTA